TGTAATTGCAAAACATATAGACATCAATTTGACAGTAAGGGTGGTCTTGAACTGTGAACTACATGAAACTCTAATTATCAAAAGTCAGTAGAATGTTTGATAGCAAACAAAACTTTGGCGAGAGATGCCTTGCTTGATATACTTTCCTATAGGATTCCTCCCAATCTTGGCGGTCATAATTAGCCTTTAACATTTAATTCTAACTTCTAACAGCCAAAGATGAAAAAATTGTAAGGCTTTGGTCATGTTAAAATCGCTATAAACATTAAAAAGTGCAGACTCTAGTAGCACAACATTCAGAGGGCAAAGAAAAGTACTCAGAATTCAAAGAACTCACATCATCCTTATATACAGCGTAGACATTTATTAATGCCTTCAACACTCTGAGCTTAGAACTTGTAATTGAGATCATTGAGTTTGTGTCCTGTAAGCAGCACAACATTGTGTCTGCAATTGATTTAGATGCTTTCCACTCTGAATAATCCCACATATCTATTCCCAGATCTGCTCGAATGCGTTCAAGGTCAAACAACAAATGAAGATCCTCAGCAGTCGCAAAAAGATCACCATTATACTTTCCTTCATACATCTGCAAAAACTCTGATTCAATCAGAAACTGGGAGAGTTCTTTGAATGGCCCAGGGCTGATTTTACGACCTTCAAGCTCTCCTTGTAGATGATAGTAAAGATCACTAATTATTAAAGCTTTTAGCTCCCTTCCTTCACTGAAATGAAAACTCGAAATGAAAACCCGAAAAGAAGAAGGGAAAAAATGGAGATGATTGTGAATTTCTGAAATAGTAGAATGAACCAACTGAAAACCTACAAGAAACTAATGCTTTAGCAGAGTCTATTCCTTAATGACTCATTCCATGACAATGGCCATATGAACTAATTGTAATAATGCTGCCAAAAACAAACAAAAGGACTGATTGTAATGTTACATACAAAAACCTATCCTAAATTTTGACATTTTATTCTCAGTTGTTTATAATGCATGTCAGATATAGTGCTTTATCTCGAAATGGCGTTTCGAATAAAGTTTTTTAAAAAGACAAAAAAGGAATCAATCTCGCATTTACCTGTAACCATGCCGTGAGTATCCTACCATCAATTCAGAAAAGGCAAGTTGACTGAACAACTGTCATTAGAAATAAAAAAACAGCACCAAAATTAGATGTTAAGTGAAAACTTCAAAAAACACAAGGAAAGAATAGAATTGAAAGAAAAATCCAGGTTCTAACTCCTGATAATTAACTATGCATTTCCAAAGGACTCCTCAAAGAATAAACACTACTGAGAAAATAAACATTACTTATAAAATATCATAGTGAGAAAAGAAGCCAAGTATGAAGAAAAGTATTACCTTTTTTGACAAATTATGGACCTTCTCTACTAATGACACAGACATACTTCCAGTGTTATCAGATGATAGTCTCCCCATTACGTGTACCACAACTAAACTGACAGAAACCTGAAAGTAGCTTGATTATGAACATCTTCCATTTCAGATATAAATTTAGATTAAAGAGGGTAAGAATCAAATTAAAAGACAACTGAACTGGTCAACTAACAGAGGTTGTTTGCCATCCTATCTACCCCATCTTCTCGTGGCAAATGAGATTTGAAAGGGAAAAGAAGACAGTCCCTAACATGCTAAGAGCCTGTTTGGTTAGAGGGGAGGGGAGGGGAGGGGAAGGGAGGGAAATGGAAGGATATTGTTTCCCCTCTCCTCCCTCAAACCAACCGGCCCTAAGAGAAAAATAGAAGATTATGTGACCCAACAAACATCACATGGTTAAAGACATGCCAAAGAGTGACACCAGCATTCCAATTCGAAGTTGACATGCAACTATTAAGAAACAAGAACACCAATAGAAGTAAAGGAAACGTCAAGATCACCTTAGCCTGGTAAAGTACTTCATTGTCATATTCACAAGATGTATATGACTTGATGAGGCTTCCTAAAAGAGAGCTCTCAGACCAATTCAAGAAAACATCCTCAAGATCATAACCATTAATTGTTTTTGATTTTTCAGAATTCACTGCACTTTTTGCCTTCTCACTTGATTCAGTGTCTTCTTTTACTAGTGACTCAACATATAACAACTTTTTCTTCATGAACATGTCATATGCCATTATTTCCAAAATAGTTGATTGACATTTATACTTGTATCCCAAGTTCAAAGCCTCCGATTCTGTCAGACTTTTAATTGGAGGAGCTTCAAAATTTGTAACTCTAGAAATAGAGTTGGATAAGTGTCTCCAGAAATTTTCAGAGTTTTTCAGCTGCTCCAAAACAGCTGTATAATGACCAGCCCCCTGCCACAACGCCTTCAGTAAATTAAGTACACTCAGCAATATCCGGGGATTGCTATGGATGATAGAGTCATGCGATTCAGTTGTAAGTTGTAACCACATTAAGCATGCAAATCAAAGCCGAAAGAAATCAGACTATGCAGAATAGGAATATAATCAGTGACAAAAACCAGATCACAGAGTCCATCGAGACAACATACCTATTGATAAGATCATCAGATCTTTCAATATAATGAAGGAAAGCAGCCATCAAACCAGATTTCAGGACACCCGGTGCCCCAGATGAAGATCCATTTCTTGGCTGCTTTAGATCAGCAGCATTAGTCAGTTGCACATCCAAATCCTCTTTTGTGGAAAATATAGCAACAAGAAAAGCAGGCTGCAAAAAGGCAGTGACACAGGATAAGTCTTCAGAAGCTACAGTAGTATTATCCAGAGACAGTAATAGAATAAAGGCCTACAGACCATTAATCCAATCAAGGTTAAAGTATATAACAAGAATAACTCATTACATAGCATACATAGATATAAATTCAATGAAAAGGATATACATGTTCAAGAACTAAATCTAGTTCTTGTAAAACCCATCTAAACAAAAGATAAGAGGACAGGGCAAAAATTCAAGAAAGTTAACTCAGAAGTTGTAAATGGTATGTTTACAAACCTGATAAAAGATGTACCATAACTCACCTGATAATGTGCTGCAGAAGTGAGCAAATTTACGAAAGCAACAAATAGATCTTCATTCAACACTACCTGTTCCAGTAGTACGCAACAAACAGAATGCTTTAAATCTGCAATCTAAAACCAAGCAGTTAATCAAGCTAGATTAGAAACAACAAAAATTTTGGTAGATTTAGAATCTGATTAAGCAAAAGAATAGATTAACAAAAAAATGATAAACCTGCTTATCATCTAGACCAAAGCAAGCATTGCCAAAGAGATATGGTTGTAAATAATCTGCCATACATAAAAGCATCGATAATACTTTAGCAGCACCAAGCTGAATTGCCTGTAAATAAGAAAATTATACTATGAGAGCATTAAACAAGGGCAGAAAAAATTATAAGAAGAATTTTAAGAGAATGGGAAAGGTATGTACTGGATCACGGAAATATGATATCAATGATATAACTGCTGCAACAACAGGAATTGGTTTCGTTGTTGATGAGAGTAGAGCTTGATGAAAGATAGGAAGGTTCAATGATATATCCTGGAAATATAAGAGTGCAAAGTATTAACCATCAACTTTCACAAAAGAAATGGCCAGAGGAAATGATGCCATGTGGTTGGGAAAGTCAAATAGAGAAAGAAATTTGCATGCACTACATATGCACATAGGCAGATCATCAGCAGATATACATTTAAAATTGTAAGGAAGACCACAAAGCAAAACACAATGATTATCATGTTACCCAAAAGGAAAAATATATCATGGCTTGCATAAATTTATAGAAACTATAATAACATCATGTTATTGTCCATCAATGGGGAAAAAGCTTATTTTCCAAGGCCATTCAGCCAAAAAAAAATCCATTTAGTTCACAATTCTTTGAAGCAAGTAATGCATAGGACTACCTAAATATGTAGATAGAAGTAATAACCACAAGAACTTGAATTGATGTCGTAGCATGAAACGTTATTTCATAAATGCCCAGAGTATGTGGTAAACCCAAAGAATACCTTTGAAAATTTTGAGAGCATAACATATAAAACATCCAAAGCAGAACTTATGGCAAGTTGTAATCCCTCAATCTCTGTCAGTTCAACGAGGCGATTGACATAAAGCTTCTGTTCAAGAATGCAATCCCACCAATGAACATAAAAGGATTATGAATTGTGATATTCATTCAATACATAAATACCCATAAGAGAAGTTATAGAACATTGCGGACCTCCAGGGCTTCTGTAGTTGTACATACAATGCGAAAGAGTACGTTGTGGATGGAAGAATCACAAAGTAACAAATCCTTGACAGCCTCAAGTTTTCCAGAGAAAGATACAGCTGCAATGCAGGTTTTCACCAGTTCAAGAACCTAGAAATGAACATACAGGATTAAACCTTGATTTTTACAACATTAAGATATCCATATTGACATTCAAAAAAATGAATTTCAAAAGAAAATTTTTGAGTTTAAGAGAATGGCAAAGTTATGAATAGAAAACCTTAAATACAATACAATTACTCTTTTTCTGATAAACACAGAAAAATCAAACATGATGCAGCCATTATCAAGGCTTGAATCTATTCAGTTGTTCGAAGTTGTCATTGACTTTGCTAAAAAAAGGGTCAAAAACTAGAAATCTTATAACTATCATCATTCTGTTTATGAATGCATTTCAAAGTTAAAAAATAAGAGATCCCAAAGCATCATTTAGAAAAAGGAGAAAAAAAAAAGGCCCAAGTTGTAGCAGACAATCAAAAACAAACAAAATAAGACATACCTTCAATGTTACTTTCCAACGAGTATTCTTCATCTTGTATTTCCAGTATTCATGATTAACTAGGATATACTGGAGGGAGAAAATAATTAACGAAAAAACAACATCATCCTCCAGCCCAGTCTTTACAAGCTGCAAGGTGAAACCCAGCACTGCAAGTATAATATTATTACCCATCAGAACATAATGAATGCATATAAAAAATTATTCAAGCATTAACATGTAAAAGCAGTTAAAACTCCAGATAACAAATAAAAAAGCTTCACTAAAATCCCTATATAAGATTGCTACAAGTCCCTGGCAGTTAGAAGGTACTAACATCCCATGTCTAGGGCAAATGGTATTATCAAACTATCTTCCATCCTGCACATATGAATAGGATTAGAACTGGATACATATTACCAACAAAGTTCTCTAAATACAGATCAAAATCAGACCTAAAAACACATGGATAAATTCTCAGAAAATGTGTTGGAAAAATAATAAAATAAGAAGGCAAGTAGACCAAGTGCCAAAAGTAACAATAATAAGATGAAGATGGAATTTTTGACAACTGAAACAAGAAAGAACCCTTGTAAAAACCGGCAAAAACTAATGAAGTATACCTGATATAGTTAACGGGCAGTCATAATCATTTTGCTCGCAGTCGATTAATAGTAACTTTGCCAATTTGCCAGATAGCAACCATGAGCCACTAAGATAAAGAAGCATGACAAAAGAAATTAGAACATAGAAAATCCCTAATCTAGTTGAATAAGGAAGAGAATCTATTTACAGCTTTAAAAATGGTAATCATCAAAAAGACAAAGGAGGAAACATAAGAACATTAAGATAAAGAAAAAAATCCCTCAATTACAGCCAAAAACCCAAAACCCACAATTCATTTCATGACCCAGTCCAAGAAACAAGATGCAAACTGAGAGAACTCTTATAACCCACAGGAACTGCTCCAAAATAATAACTATCATACAACTACAAGGATTCATAGAGTAAATGACTCAGCACCTTGTTGCTATAAACAAAACTTTCATTAGAAAGATGCACTCAACAACCCAATTATAAAACACATCATTCATAAACAGTGAAAGAAAAGCAACACAAAAATGGCAACAATCAATAAAACAAGTCATATAGCAACAAGCAATTGGCTACAGATTAACTTGGTATCCAGTGATTCACCTTGATAAACCATTCCAGCCAATATCACCACCCTTCGAAGCAACATCGAAAATATTTGATTTCAAAGCTACTGCTGCAACATTAGATGGGAAACTGCCTCAAAAAAAAAAAAAGAAAAAAGAAGGAAACAATTTAGCCACTAGAAGCAAATGTTGTTCATGGTGTAAAACAGTGAGCAAAGACCATCTCAAATTAACCAAATGCTAATTGGCAACTCAGAAACCCTTTTCTGATAGATCTGAGTTTCAACCTGATATAGGATGGTGAATGACAAGTCAATTTTACCTTTAAGATACAGTTTTTTCTTATGAGTATAAATTTCAATTACAATCCAATTCAGTGAGTATACATAATATCAACAAATCAACATTTAACATGTCACAATTCAATCAAACAAAATTACAAATTGTAACAAACCAACATAAAGTTGGACAACAACCAGCACAAGGCATGACTCGAACCTAGGACCTAAGGATGCAGGACCTCCATCCTAACCAACAGGCCAAAGCCTTTTTGGCATTATAACACAGCATTTAAACCATCATTGCTGATTACCATTTCATTGATATTATATTAAAATATTAAATGCCAAGATCTTTGGCATTACAAATTAATCTAGCATAATTTTATGGAAAAAAATCCATTCTCACTCTTATTCATTGGCAATGTTACAAAAAACTAGCACAAATGGACAACCACAAATAGATATATGGAAACCTATATGGAGCCAAGCCTATGAAAACAAGCCAACTTGTTCAATCAATGATTAGATTCAAGGAAAGCCAAAAAAAAAAAAGAGTTCTTTTTGCACCCATTTTGGGATCAAGTCAGTTGCTTAGCCCAAACTAATAAAGTCAAAACATAAGAAAGGCCTGACCCCATACGAGTAATCATGCAAGCCAGTAAGTAAGCAGGTCTGATTGTCTAGCAGCTGACCAGCCTTTATGACTGATTTTCCACAAGTATTTTGAATTTTAACTTGCCCATATTTTTTTAATAAGCACTAACATATAAACCATATAGAACAACAAAAAATACAGAGATTCAATTACCATTTAAGCATCTTTTCTAAGACAGTAAGAGCCATAGACATCACTAGAGCACCCCTAGGATTAGGGGAGAGATTTCTGACCATAGTGCTAATGATTTCAACTACCCTACAATAAAGAAAAATGATGGGATCAGAAATGTAGCCCAACAAAGATACAAGATAAACTGACATAAAGAGAACAGAGTAACTCAGTAAGAGGAAAAAGGAGTTGAAGTGATTACCACCCATTATTCTCCACCTGACCATTTACTCCTGTTTCTTGGACATGCAATGAATTGCTAATGTTCATCAAAGCAAAACATATGGCCTATTCATGATCATGAAGATTTCATTAGAAAAGAATGAAGCTGCAATCCAAGGTGGGAAACATGTTAACTTCAAGGATGAATGTAAGAACAACAGGGAAGAGCAAGGTTGTAAAGGTTCATGATACAAAAAATATTGAAAAAAGGCAAGTTGTTTTCACTAGCATAAGCCCCCATACAGCATGTAACCTGATTTCATCCTTTCCAAGTCAAATCTACCATCATATATGGCAAATTGAACCTCAAACAATCAAATTACCTTGTTAAAGGATACCATTCGACTAAGCAGGTCTAGCGTAAGGATAACTTCCTCATTGCCTTCTAAATATCGTGCTTGGGCCAAACGCAGAAGCAACACAAAAACTGCTGACTGTGAATACTACAAAAGGAAGGAATACATCTTAGCATGAAACAGAATAACTGAAAATACAAAATGATTAGCAAGACCATAATATTATCTCTCAGACTCAGGCCGAATGGATAGTGTTCCCAATTTAACCAAATAACACAATATTGTAAAGAGAAACATCCTGATATGTTAATGCTACAAAATAAACTTCTAGATATAAAACACATGAAAAGATCATGAAACACAAAAAGGAAATAACATTAAAAAAAAAAAAAAAAGAGAGGAAGCAAACAAAAAATGAACCCTTGGTCATTTCTGTTACAAATAAACAAAGCTACCAGGAAACAGATGGATTAAAAAAACCAATCATTAGGCAGTTAAAATCTTTGTAAATCAGGATACTCAAAGAAAAAAATTCACAGGTGTATGCATGACAGATGACATGATAAGTTAGTTTGATTTCAGGGAAATCGGAGAACATAAAATATTATCACCCCATCAAGAACTGCACATGATAATATTTACCAAATGCCACAACAAACTGAAGGTTAAGAGAGAATGTAAACAGATTCAATGTCACAGTAACATCATCAGTGAAGAAGTTGAAGCCTCAAGATTAAAATTTCTCTGTTACCAAGAAAATGCAATAGAACCAGAAGGGCACAATAAATAAACATTAGGATAACAAGATAAACTTTTGATTATATACCTCCCAGCGGACAAGAGCAGTGTTCCCACTGATTACTCTCAGAATATGTCCTCGTGTTCCACTAGGAATGTACAAGCCATCAATCCCAGGAATATATACTGGATGGCGAGTTTCAACAATTTGTGATATATTATCCACTACAGACTCACTAGAAATCTCAACCAAGGATGATAGTCCAACAGATTTATCTAAAAAGCTATACCTGTAAGAGAATATAATAACATAGCAAATCAATGCACAGAAACTAGACCAGCAAGGGAAAAACCAGGAAATAACAATTGTGTAGCTCATCCAATCAATTACCAACAAATAAAACAAATAGGAAAGATATCAAAACAAAAATTTACAGATTTAAGCTTCAATTACACAGGAAAACCTAATAAAAGAAATTACACCAATTGGGCAGAACAGTTTTAGTTTGGCCAAAAAAGGCAGAACATTTTTAGTTTCTTGAAGCAAAACAGAATAGATTTCCCAAGGAAAGCTAAAAAACATGGCGTGACATGGCAGAAAGCAATATCATACTATAAGTAAAGTTCCATTAAGGTTACCAAGAAAAACACAACAATCTCACTTACACACATTCTGCAGGCCAACTTCCCTCACACAAGGATGATAAAAGCCGAACAAGTTCCAGAGTCCTAAGAGGGAATTCACCCTCTAAGTTGCACAGAAGGCACCGAATAGGACCATCAACAAAGCTTTCTCTGTCCCAAAACTGCATACAAAGTGACTCCTGCAAAGCCAAACAACTATTATCTCCAAACAAAAGACTATGAGCAACCAAAAATGATTAATAATAGTTAAATGAGCTTGAAGCATAATGACAAGACAAACCTCTCCTCGGTAAATGTTGCAAAGAATATCCAATATCAAATTAAGGGTGTCATCCTCCATCTGCACATTACAGAAGTGGCATTTAAAAAGAAAAATTTAATAAATGCCTAATACTACTTCAAATATGCCAAAAAAGATGCATACCTGAAGGTTTATTTCATAAGATGCAATAAATGCAGAAAGAAAGGTTCTCAAGACACTTCGATAACCAGCAATAGATCCCTAAAAAGAGGTTTAAAGTGAACTTACAAAGATAGAAATTTGATTCAAGAGAAAGGCAATAATAGAGAACAAGCAAGAACAAGACAATTTAAAAGCACAGACTTAATCTTAGATTGCTACACACTTCACCACAACCAAAAAAAAAAAGGCCATGGATATACAACTAGTCACTGCCTACAATTAGGTACCAAAAATGAGAATGACTTACATCTGATTCCTTAAATATGTCACTGTGAAGGATTTCAAGAAAACAATTCAGTGATGCAGCTTCAAAAGCTTGGCGAACATAACCAACATGATCAATCTCCTAGAAGTTTAACAGAGACAGAGTCAGTTCCAGTAACATTCACAGCTGCAATCCAGAGAACAGGAAAGACAACACACCATTAGAAAATTATTATCTTCTTTTCCAGGAAGCGACGAAATCAGACAAAGAAAAACTGCCCATGAAAGAACCAATGGACCTGCTTCTTTCATTTCAAGGGTATCAAAACTGGATATGAGTGCATCAATCTCTTGGACATCAGCCAAGGAAAAAACACTGGGACCTTGCCTGAAGAACACCAATAAAACATGTCCTAACAATTAAAGCATATTAAAAGGCAAAGATAAATTACTTCCAAAAGGTATAAACTAAAACAGGCATGGCCAGGGGGCATTAGGGTTCACATCAAAATCCAATTTCTTCTTAGCTACTATATGATTCAAAATCAAGATCCACACAGCAAAGTGCCATCTGCCATGTCTCCAGACACTAGGACAAGGACAGTATTGACACAACCGGTCTATTACATGACGAAGAAAGAGCTAAGAATTAGTGCTATGAGAGATATTATAATTAAAGTAAGCATTTCCTTTTACAAGGGATTATATACCTCCTTTGTCCTTCCTCTAGCACAGGCATTGTTTGCATTAGTCATTAATTACAAGAAAACCTTTTTAGATGTGGTTGAATATTCTCCTTTAGTCAAAAAAAGCTCTCATGTAATTCAAATTAGACCATAAAGATAGCAAAATAGCATTGGAACTAAAAACTACCTACAAACCTGAAAGGAATTTCATCATGAACCATCTGAAGAAGATTCTCCAGGTTCAAAGTTTCAATGAGGATAAGCAGCAGCTGAACTTTTGCATTATAAGAAGAATGTAGTGCTTCAGTTGAAACTGCAAGCCTTGCAAAACTATAAGGCCCGTACAAGATTCCCTACGACATGACATTTTTTACCAGAAAACGAAAAAATGTAGAAATCATATCAAACAACTAATGATAACATCTTCCATTCAAGAAAAGAAAAGGAGAAAAAAAAATGTAGAAATCATATCAAACAACTAATGATAACAGCTTCCATCCAAGAAAAAGAAGAATAAAAATAAAAAAACCAACAACAACAACTACTACTACTAATGATAACAGCTTACCTTGTAAAAAGAGCATAATTTTTTCCATTTTTCACCATTGCAAGAACAGAATGACTCATAATAAATAAGGAAAAGAATATCCAGAACCAAGTTGTCCTCGATTAATATCTCCTCAGCCCACAAGGTGAAAAGATCAACATCCTACAGGGCATACCAACACATCACATGTCAAAAGGCTTCAGTGAATATTCCATTTTCCCCAAAGACAACGCATTCATATCGTTGGAAGCAGCATGTAAATATATACATGTATATATGAAAACAAAAAATCAAGGGTGTCACACAAAGCTTGAAAGCATATAGGAAATATATACAGCACCAGATCCAGTGTCTCACTGAACTCACATCAGAAAATTTACTAACATCTAAAAAAGCTTATGTCTTGTAACCATAAAAAATATTTATGTAACTGCAGATTCGAAATTGGCTTTGCATAACTAGAAGATAGGAAATTGAAGGCTTTATTATCTCCACTAGTTCTTATCATTTAAGGAGAAACAATATCTCAAAATCTCCCTTCCCAGCCCATACATACAAAACCTAGTATATGTCCCTTAGGTTAGAAAAATCACAAGAAGATATGAATTGCTCATTTATGAAAAGCTTCTACAAATTTGCTTCCACTAAGATGTTTGTTGAGGTTGAAAAATTTTGCTATCAAACATACCATCTGCTCTGGATGAGTAGCAGATAGAAGGGCTTCCAGAACAGATGCTAATTTCCCTTCCAATCCATCAGAAATCAACTTTAGTGCCTCCTCCCTAACAAAGTTCCCATCTTTTAAGCCAGCTCCAGCACACACTGCAACCAAGATAGCCCTATTATCAGCATCAAATATCAGTTTATAACCAAACTACATGGTCTCAGAGAAGTCCTGGAACTCAGAAGTATCCAAGACATCATGGTACAAAGAGTCTAGTCATTAAGCCATTCCCCAAAAGTTGACACATGGAAGAACAACCCAAAGGAAGACCAGATGAAGCGTGAGGGTAGGGGATTTCAGAACCAATAATGGAATATTTAAGAATAGAACAGCCTCAAGCTGGACTTACAAGCATGCAGGAGAATCTGCCTGGTGCACTTCAGCAAGCACTGACGTTCAATGTAATACCTTAGCAATATCTTCTTAAAACAGAATTATAAAGAAAATGATTAGAAAAAAAGAAGAGAGAACAGCATCTTAATAACAAAAATATATTTTACAACTAAATAACAGATACCCTAGAAATAACAGGAAATTTGGTACAAATTTGTTACGATTAATATATGCATTATTAAACCTTTGAGCAGAGTGCCACTGTAAAATATTATGCATGTGATTACAAACAGATAAATGTGGCTCAAACACTCAAAACTGAAATCAATGATTCAATATCAAACCTAAAATCATGTAGAAACCACCAGATCATGCACACTAACTTGACTTAGACCAAGGACCATAAGAGCGAGAGGAAGCTGCTCACCACATGAATAGGTTCTTGAACAATGGAATCAACAGAGGCAGTGCTATGCTGGAGACACCTCTCAACAAGAATATATGACTGTACTTCATCTAAAAACTGAAGACAAACAAACAAACCATACAAAACTTAGATTCACAAACTACATTAACAATTGGCATAACCAAGTATACCATGCACTGTCCAATTTACCACAAAGCTACTTCAATCTACATATCAACATGCATTCGAAGATTAGAAAAGAGAAAGTGCGAGATCATGGTAACTAACCAAGTACGAGCTAACTTGCAAAGCCTTTTCTCTGAACTGAGGCTTTACAATCAACTCATGAGAACCGATTTTGATTTTGTCAGAGCTCAAGGCATCCTTGGATTTCGCATTCGGAGGCTTAAACCGCGACACAGTGTCCACGAACCAAGAATGATTCTCCTTCAGCCTCTTCACCTGCAAATTCCGCAACGCAAAAACATAAACACAAACACAAAAGGAAAAAAGGTGATATCTACGCTTCGACATACACACCGACATCGAGAGTACGAGTGTGCTTACCAGCGGTTCGGGGAGGTCGGAGGAGTGTGAGGCGCGTTCGAGGTCGGTGAGGAGGGAATCGAAAGGATCCCACCACAGAGAGGAATCAACGGCTTTAGCCTCAGCCGCCATGGCTAAAACCCTAGCAGTAGCAGGAGAGGGAAAAGAAGGAAAGGTGCGGCGGGTTTTTATAATTTGATTTGTTTTTCGCGCTTTCGGGAAGGATGAGTGAGGAACGGAATTAGACAGCGTCAAGCTCGAATGCCCTCGATTGTGGGGTTTAAGCTAGCTACGGTGCGTCCACGAGACGCGACCACTAGCGACGCTGCAACGGCATTTCTGGAGTAAATAGTAAACTTTGTCCCTGACTTTTTGTTGGATTTTTAAATCGAGTCTTGAATTTCTCTTTTCACCAATTAAGTCAAGAAAAAAAAACTTTAAATCTTTTTTTTTATTTGATTTTTCCAATTCCCAACGACACGATAACACGAGAATATTTAATTTCTCTCTCTTTTTTTTCTTTAATCAAAACTATTTTATTTCCTTAAAAAAATACATTTTTTTAAAAAAATTATGTGATTTAAAAACATACTTCAATATATTAGGAGTCAGTTTGTAGGTGATTTATAATCCTACTAAAATAAGAAAAATGCAAAAATTTTATATTGATGAGCAATTACGAGCCATAGTTTCAAGAAAAGAATGTATTTCAACTCTACAAAGTGTTTCAAGAGTGAATGACCTCCCCTTTTTCTTTTTAATATGGGGAATTATGAAAGAATTGAAGATTTTTTCTAGTAGTTGGTTCGAGTGAATGACCTTTCTTGCATTTATATGAAAAAATGATTTCAATCATGTGCTTATATTATAAAAAATTATATTTTAATCTTATTCCTTTAGAAATTAAAAACAAAATTACATCCTTTAAAATTAAAATATTAGATCTTGAATGCACTAATAAATATGTAAAATCTTTTGATAATTGTATTAGGAGTTCGGTGAAATTAAATCTCACATTTTTTTCTTAAATCAGCAAAGCAAGAAAATATTTTTATTTAAATTGGAGTATAAGAGGTTCTTTGCCCATTACAAACAAACACAATTAAAGATCCTACACAAACCCATGCAGAAAATACTAGATCCAATCCAAGAATGCATTAGTTAAAATAATAGCTTATTTACATTTTACTTTCATGAGATATTTTAAAACCCAAAATTTTATTTTTAGCTTGATTTCCTTTCTCTTTTGGTGCAAAAATGTAAACAAGATATGGGATTAGATTAAATGTTTCCTCATCCATGCAACAAATTTTCACAAGCAACTAAAGAGGCTTCATTAAAAATTAATATTACGCTATTATTCAAAAGAAAGTCAACAGGTTCACTATCTAAATAAATTAACTCAATTCACACCCATAAAACCACTTAATTTAACATTATCTTTATAAATAAGTACAGTAATTCACGATAATCACATTCCTTGGCTGTTCTCCCAATAATATTGTTCTTCTTCACCATCTTTATTGCTGAGCCAAAAACAAAACCTTCACTTCAATTGAAAAAAACAACATTTTTTACCCTATTTGAACCTCAAGCTACAACTTTTTAAGGAGCAAAGGGTGGGAGTGGAGGAAATTTTCCGAACTTGGGGTGCTGGAAGTACTTGTGAGGAGGAATCTTGGGGATAAGAGGAGGCCATTTCTTCTCGGGGAGTGGAGGAATATTTGGAAGCAATGGAGGAAATGGCTTCTTGTAAATTGGAATCGGTGGTGGGAGTGGCTTTTCGTAAACTGGAACTGGTGGTGGGAGTGGCTTTTCGTAAACCGGAACTGGTGGTGGGAGTGGCTTTTCGTAAACCGGAACTGGTGGTGGGAGTGGCTTTTCGTA